TTCGGAGTATGCAGATGGACTAGCTAGACACAATTTTTGTCTGTTCTGAAAAATTTACAGAAGGTTTATTCTTCCCAAGTGCCAGCCTTTTATAATGGACCAGTTGGCGCCGCACGCATTGCGCGCGCAACACAGATCTGCGGCGAATTTTGATGGTGCGACGAAAATTTTCAAATTTGGCTTGATACAATACGAATATCTGAATTCTCCGCTAAATTCTATCCGCTCTTTCTTCGTCAACCATTATCCTATTTTTCTCGGTCCTCGGCCCGGACAATAAATCTCGTGGCGAACTCCGTCTACTTCGGTGCGTGCCCTGCCCACCAATAGCATTTGGCCCCTTCCTTTCGCCGACCTCTACCCCCTTTTTCACCGGTCTCTGGGACCTCTTGGAACCAAATTACGACACTTTTGGCAAACTCCGCCCACTTAGGTGCGTGCTCTACCCACTAATAGCAGTTGACCTCTTTTCCCTCGCCAACCTCTAACCCCGTTTTCCCCTATCTCTAGGACCTCTTGGAACCGAATTGCGACACTTTTGGCAAACTCCGCCCACTTAGGTGCGTGCTCTACCCACTAATAGCATTTGACCTCCTTTCCTTCGCCGACCTCTTTTTCCCAGCCTCCGGACTTCTTGGAGCCGAGTTATGAATTTTCGTCGCAAACTCCGCCCACTTTGGTCAAGCCCCGCCCACCATTGACAGCTGGCCTCCACTCCTCCACCCACCTCTATCCACCTTTTTCCCGGCCTCCGGGACTTCTTGGAGCCGAGTTATGAATTTTCGTCGCAAACTCCGCCCACTTTGGTCAAGCCCCGCCCACCATGACAGTTGGCCTCCACTCCTCCACCCACCTCTATCCACCTTTTTCCGGCTCACTAAGACTTCTCCGGCCCGAATTATGAGGACTTGTAGAAAATGCTGTACACTTCAGAGCGCGCTCCGCCCATTGTGGGCGGGCCTCCGCCCACGTCATGTATGCTGGGAACACCTTAGACATTGCTCCCCTACACCAATTTGTTTTCTGCTCTGTAGGCTTTCTCCCAACCGAGTTATGAAATTTTTCATAAAGCACTGCTTTTTTGGAGAACGCCCCGCCCACCGGGGGTGGGTCTCCCTAATTCGATGTGACTTACCAATGCACACCTTTACCCACTTTTTGGCCCAGTTTCGAGGCTGTTTTGTCACTGAAATCGAAATCTTGGTCTTCAGTACAGTTCATTTCGACGCACGCCACGCCCACTGTGGGCGGGGCTCCGCTTAGCTGATGTGTGTTTTGTACTTCGTGAGACCTTGCCCACCCATCCCACACTTGACCCGGTCCCTCCAGGCGGATCCCGAGGAGCTAGGGAATTTCGTGACAGACATACAGAACGACAGACGACAGACGAAGCGCTTTATAGTAAGTAGGATTATACAAAGAGGGATTTAACTGCAGCTAACCAGAACACGTCTGAACTCC